TATTATCTATAATTATTTTTTTAATATTTTTGTATTTTAAAAAAGTAAATCAGAGCTGAATAAATGTAAAAATGCAGGCAAATTTGCTTGCGTTGGCCTACAATCTAAGAGATAAGTTAATAAACATAGTGTTTAAATAAATAACTCATAGGTAGGTTACAAGTATAACAGCATAGTGTAGAACTAATCAGGTAGTCTAATATCTATATAGCAAATTACTTAAAATAGATAATAGCTAAAGTTGTATGTATAGCTTGTTATATACTCTTCATGTAATTACAAATAGTAGAAATTGTTAATATATAATCCTGTTTGCATTTTAATAAAATTTCTTTAGCAATATAAGCTACCTTTAACAAAAAAAAAAAAAATAAAAATAAATAAATAGTTAATTTTTTGAATATACTTTATTTACTATTATTTTTACAAATAACTTAGTAGTTACAGATAGATTTAAGTTATATTATTAGATTTAGCTCAATTATATCTATTAAATAAGCTATAATTTATACTTATAAAACTCTTAGTTTTTAAGTTAGCTTAGAAACAATTTTAGTATAATTTACTATTCTTACTATTCTTACTATTCTTAGTATTCTTATTATTCTTATTATTCTTACTATTCTTACTATTCTTACAGTTCTTATTCTTAATTATAAAAAGCTATATAAACTCTATCTTTTCTCTTTGCCTTAGATTAGATTTTGTTCTTTACAATTTTCTTAATATTAGAATTCTTTTAGTATAAAATCTAATAAATAGTTTTGTATTATTGATATTGTATTGTAAATAAAATATAATCTTTGCTCTTTTACTAACTTTATAATGAACTACTATATTTTTTTTTTTTTTTTAGGAGGAATTTATTCGTTGCACCCTGTAACATATCAATTTTGTCACAGGTTACGTGAACTATATATCAGCCAATAACCAGAAAGTTTATAGACATATACAGGTTACAAGGGTTATTACTCAATTCTTCGAAAACTATTTACCCTACAGTCTATTTACTCGATATCACATAGAGTGACAATTTAGCATTTATTTAGCTATAGGTATACTTTATTAGTAAATTTTTGCCTCATGTGATTTCAGGTAAATAGACTTTCGGGTAAATAGTTTTTAGGAAATCATACCATAACCGGTTACAAGACTCTAACCTATCTAAATGTACTATGTATGTACTATGAACATATACTAATCACTAATCTTCATTTAAAGTATATGAGATTTCGTAGACTTTCTTGCCAATAACTCACTCAGTATAGGCAACAAAAAATCTTGAGCATGTGATGATCAACAGAAAATTGATTAATAGCTAATCGCTATTTGGTATAATATTGAATGATCAGGAAAAGTACAAACATTCGTTTTATCAAAAATCACTCATAACTCAAAATCTGCATAATAAATTACCTTTAGCATTCTAACAAAAAGCCTTTCTTTGATGATTTTACTACTATATCTTGCTAACACCTAACCCTAAATAAAGCTACTCGAATATAGACGCATTTTCGATTATATGTACCCGAGATTTTTTGTTGGCTATATGAACTTAGAAAACATTATATTTGCTTAATGAAATTGATTAATATATTAATACTCAACAAATTCAGAAAAAAAAGCACAGTTATTTTCTATAATATCAATTAGTTATTTGTTCAGAAATTCAATTTAAAAATATAAGCAGAAGGTGATACTATTGCTTGCATAGCTTTATCATAGGAAATATAAACTATAGCTAATCCATTCTTGATTATACTATAAACCACAAAAAAAAATTATCGTAGTTGTTAAAAGATAAAACTATATGTTACTAGAATTCATAATAAATTCGTTGTTGTAAAACATCTAGTACACTAAATTTAACTACTTTTTCTTTTCACATTTTGCACTATTATAACTAGTTAGACCACAGGTACGGCAAGAATATAGCTGACAGTGTACTTTCTCTATTGCACTCTTGTATCGTTTATTTGCAGGTCTGCCCTTATGTTTTGTAATTGGAGGATTGGTGATTTCTATATTTTTTTTTGCATTATTATCAGCATCAATATCAGATTCATTAATCATTTTATCTTTGTTGTTACTTGCAAGTAAATATTTTTTCTGATCAATAAATGTTTTCAACTATTGAACCATTTCACTGTCATTACATTCAACTGCAAGCTGTGCAGCCTGTTGTGCAAGGCCCCACAATTCACCATATTTGGAGTGCTGAACTGCTGCACATCGATTATTCATAGTTACTGAGCATAGTATTGTAAGTGGTTGAGGAACTATCTGTATAATTTTGCTTTGCTGAATATGAACAGCTTGCTCATTTACAAAAATCACATTAAAATTATCAGTCACTTCCTTCTTGCTATCACAGTACCAACGTGAAGCTATCATTTTAATGTAAAATCCAGCTACGTGTGATATTAACATTACTTGAAAGTAATGGCGACATAAGATACCTCGTGAAACATTAGACATGCAGATGCATAAATAAGACACAGGATCCATAACAATGATAAAATGTTTTCGTCGATTGTTTCCTGGACGTTTGTCAGTAAGCAGCCAAATTTCTTGAATATTTTCTTGACCAACCTTTGTTATTAGTGATTTAAGTAAAGCTTGCTTCGCATCATAGATGTCTTCAATAAATTTATCATCTATAGTTTCATCCTAATAATAAACACATTCTGGTAATTAGTAATATGATTTTGAATAATATTCTAATTATATAATAAAAATATTAATCGTTTTAGAACTAGAACTTAAAAACTAAACATGATTTATAATTTCTTACTTAAATAATAGAAATCTACTAATAACTTATTAATATTTTATTAATTAATAATTCTATAACTTTATTCATTAAAGTATTCATATACCGTATAGTACTGAAAATAAGCACCTATCCTCTAATCTAGTTTTTTAAATCTCAGATTAGCAGGAATAATATAGTAAAGATTTCATTTCTATTTCCACTAATTTGTGATTCAAAAATTAGAGTAGAGGAGGAGATGCTTATTTTTAGCACTATACAGTATATGAATACTTTAATATAGCCAATTAACCAGAAACGTTTATTAAAAAAATAAATAAATAAAAAGAATAAAATGAACTACTCAAAGTGCTGCCTTATAAACAAGATAGTTACTAACCTCATTATCATTATTTAAATGCATTGTTGTTAAGTCAACTAGTGTTACATCATAATATAAACACTGTGCCATTTCAGTACGCTCTGCTGAAAGAATATGCGATGTTAAAAATTCCGAAACTTTTTGATTAACAGAGGGAAATATCTCACTTCCAACAGAAGTAATTCCGATACAAGAAGATAGAGTTTGATACTCAAAGAAACGGTTCTATTCAGCCTCTTCTCAAGTCTAGAATCCAATACCTTAACCAAGTCACATAAACTACTTTTACTATGCAGTACTTGCTTAATAATATTGTTGTATCCTTCAACACGTGATGTTGTTTGAATTCCAGCATTAAAAACCTGAGATGTAAAAGCACATGCCCATGAATAGCGACTAGGATAAAGAACTCGATTTAAATAGGTTATAGCAGGTGGATATTTTTGTAATATGTTTTGCCATCTTGTTTCAAATAACTCTTCATCCAAAGTATTGCAGCAGTGAAAGAACTCTTTAATAAAATTATTGTATGTACTACCTAATACTGCCTTAAGATTCTTCGGTAAATTTTGATTAATATGATAAATATAGTGTAAAGATTTAGTAGTCTTATATACTTGCTGAAATGCACTATCCATTGCTGGATCTGCATCTGTGATAAGTACTAGTGGCTCTGTACCAGTTGCTTTTTTAATGCATTGAAGAATCTACTTATACGAATCAACAGTTTCGTCAGACACTAATGCCTGTGCTACTAAACGAGATCTGGTATTATTGTCTACAATGAGAAACAAACTAAGTGACATTTGATACCGATTTATTTTAGCTGTATTATCATTAAGAACAATGTCATGATACTCGAGCTAAAGAGATACTTGAGCAGGAGTTATCCAAAAAAGTCTTATAAGATGATTATCAGCATCTAACTCAAATTCGACTATCCAACCCAATTCATCTGATCACTTGTCATTAAGAAATAAAAAAAGACGTGAAGTATCCGTAATTTCAAGATCTTGAAATTTGGTTTTAAAGTGTTGAATAGCATTTGCAAGGTCCCTGTCTAAAAAGGTTATACCTGGATACTTGGCTTTTAATAATTGATGCTGAATAGTAATTGAAAGATTTCTATTTTTGGTATAGAACTCAATTTTCTTCATAGCATCCTTTCCAATTGACCGAAATTTAGAGCTATATTTACATGTTGTTGGGCGAAGCTCATGATTATGGATATTGACGAATGTCGTAACTATGATACAACTAGCACCTTTAAGAAAACTTAAATTTATATGCCATTCACAACCTTGATGTTTGGACCTCTGTTCACAGTGAGTATTGACATCAACACCCTTTTTTGGATTATATGTTCCTCTGAATTCGCATCCAAAGGCCCTATGTTTTATTATACCGTCATTATCCCGTTCAACTCTAATCTTAATGACTGCAAATCTAAACTGTCGGCCATATGCTTCAAAAAAGGAATCCACATCGTTCCAATTTTGGAACGTGTAACCAACACTTAATAATGAAAAGTCATACGATTCATCTAAAAAATAGTCATTTTAGAATATATAATATAATACTTGCATAAACCAGTTCTTTGGTTCAAATTCATAATAAGGACTAGCCTAAACCAATCTTTAATTATTAATTTTTTACCAAAAAACTGGACCAACCTTATACAAAACATAATCCAAATTCTATACTTGCCGTCATCAACATCACTACTATTATTAACATAAACATCAACTTCCATATCAATACTTCCGCCTTCAATATTAATACCTTCATTTTCAACACCAACATCTTCGATAATAATGTCTTCGCTTTCAACACTAATATCGTCAACACTAATAAAATCTTTACTAGTCATATTAATACACTTTTATTCTAACTTGAAATGTTAATAACTATAAGCCTTTGTTTTTGGATATGCTATGAGAAATCAAAAGAGAAGAATTAATCCCTAACTTCAACTCTAAAGATTGAGGTTAAAGAAAAAGGAGTATTTTATTGTGGGGAGTTGTTTATTTTCTTTTATGGAAAGTGATTAAACTAATTTTGAGCAAAAATCAAAATATTTTTTTGGTTCGATAGACTATTGTAAACTATTGTAAGATATTAGCTATTTCAAATATAAAGTTTGAGTATAGTATGTAAGTAAAAAGATTGAGTTTTGGAAATTTTCGTTCAGTGGCTTTGCTGCACCTACATCATAACAAATATAGTCATAATGATTTCATGTACGTATGTTCCAAGTTTTAATATTACACGGCACCAAAACCAAAATTTAAGAACTGCTACCAGAGTTCTAGTATCATATTACACAGTACAACTTATAGGCAGACTTTCGTCTGATTGGCTGATTAAATCGATTGCCTGGGTAACTTATTTATACTCTTTAAAGTACTTTTTGAGAATGCAATGTTTCACTAACAAAAAAATCACCGTGAAAAATATTTCTAGCTCAAAACGAACATTAATATTCACTGTTAAAAATAATCCAAATTTGAAGGACTTAATAGCGAATATTAACGTTCATTTAGAGTTAGAAATAGCTTTTACAGCAATTTTTTGTATCAATTTAATCAGCCAATCAGGTAAAAGTCTGTACAACATAATATAAACCTGTGACAAAAAAATTTATTGCGGGGTGTAACAAGAACATTTATCCTAAAAATTTTTATCAGATATTAAAAATTATTTTTAAAAATTACAGGCAAATTTAGCTGCAATACAATTTAAGGAATAAGATATAAATAGAAAAGATATATAAGAAGCAATAGACAAGTAGAAGAAGAGAAAAAATAAAAATATAGTAGAAGCTCCTTAGTACAAAATTACAATAAGAAAAAAGAAAAAGAAATTTTAGATATAAACATGTATATAGATATCCAATATGAGATAATTCAAGGTAAATTAAAGCATATGCTTAATAGTTTACTCGAGAGATTCTTCAAAAAGATCAAGATTAATAGAATAATAAAAATCATAAGAAAAAAGAAAATACTACTTACAAAAGAAAAATAAATGAAAAACAAAA